AGACAATATCTCACCACCTGCCCCTTTCTCCAGAGGTTCCAGTATGTGGAAATCCCAGGCAATCACTACATCTACATTAACATCCACCAACTCGTGGCTGGAATTGTCAGCCCCTTCGTCAAGAGCTAACACAGGACTGCTTCGAGGTTGTAGCTCTGGCCTTCGAGCTTGTTCACAGTTCCAATCCTGCACCCTCAGCCCACTAAATGTGGGGTGGGTCTCACTGGTATCGAACACCAAGAGGGGCAGCAGAGACTTCTGTGGCAGAGCTAGGGGCATGGGGATATGTTTCTGACCTTTAATATCTGACTTCAAGAAGGGGACAGGGGAGCTCATGGAGATGTGGGAGCAGGACTGGGAAAGGGTCTGGAGCTGGTCGTGGTACCAGGCTGTGTGGCAATAAAATCCTCTCCCATCTTCACTGCATTGCATATGACACTGTTGTGGGCAGGGGCTTCATAGAGGGCAAAGGGTGGGAGCAGTCAGGTTTCCCAGCTGTCTTTACAGGCTGGAGAAGGAAAAGCAACCTCTCTGAAGGCCACATCCTCCTGTGGCCTTGCACTTCCAGCCAGTGGGTACAGAGATGGAGCTGGAGACACAGCAGCAGCTTCTTGGGCTGGGGGCTGCTTTACAGTCCCTGAGGGAGCAGTCCTGTTGGTCCTGTGTTTTCAAAGCCTGCTCTCCAGGGACCAGAACAGCTTAGTTGGGTCGGAATTTGGGTTGGGCACGCATCAGTTCAATCCTCTACTTGTCCTCCTCAAACTTCTTGCGCAGCTGTGCTAGATGCTCCATCTTGGTCTCTCGGTGCTGCCAGGCATAGAAGTTGAGCAGCTCCTTGCGTGCACGTTTCCTTTTCTCCCTCTTGAGAACACGCAGGCTGGCTGCTTCTGTTTTACGCAGGCTGGCTGCTTCTGTTTGAGGGAGCACAGGCCTGTGGCCCCTGCGGGTCACCATCACCCAGCCCTCCTCATCAGGAACACCTTCCTCCTCCTTGTCCTTTGTCTCCACCTCAGCTATCTTCTTGTCGTAAGCTCCATGAATGTGTCTACTTTGACCCTCAGGGCCTCTGGGTCTAATCCGACTCTTTATACTCACTGATCCACTTATGAATCCCGCTTCTCACAGAGTGGTTCTCCATAGAAACCAGCAATGGGCCCTTCAGATTCAAGGCAGCTGACACTCCCCTTGGCTTCTGGAATACCGCATAAGCTACCTGAAAGCCCGGAATGAGCCTCGGGTGAAAAAACTCTGGCTTTGCCTCTTTAGCGCTCTCAAAATGGTCAGGCTTCTCTTTCAAGTCGACTGTCTTGATGGTGCCGCAGGAGGACAGGAGTCTGGACAGGCACTCCTCTGTGCAGTACGGGGGCACAGTGAGGACAAAAAGGGTCTTATTGGGTTGCCACGTAGACTGAGTGTCTCCTCGAACTCTGTGCTATCTCACATGCAGGTAATGGGAAGCCTGCTGCTGTTTGGTGAACTTGACAGGAATAGCTGAATAACTCGGTGGGCTGGGTGTGCTCCCCTCATGGCCGCAAGCTCCAGCTTTCCTCTTGCGCGCCACCATCTTGTGGACCCAAGCGCAGGCTGTCGTATGTTTTTAAAACCCATGGTTAATAACTGCACCATTATAAAGCATTATTCTGTCCTTCATGACAATTTTTACAAGTTTTATCTAATTATTGTGTTTATTTTTATATATAACATAATTGCATTATTCCCCTTCTCTATTTCTTCCCTCTTAGCCCTCCAATATGCACCCCCTTTATTTTGTTGAATTTTGTATGTTCATTATGTTTACTGTTGTTAAGTGCATGTGAGTTATAAGCTCTCAAGTGAGTCCTAAACTTTCATCTCAATATTCAGAGCTAGGAATAACAGAAGAGATATATGATGTCACATTTGTCTTTTTGATCCTTAAGGGCTTGGTTATAATACTCAGTTGGATCTTCTAATAGTGCCTTTCATTTACCTGCAAATATCATGACTTCATTTTTCTTTACCATATAATAACATTTTATAGATTTCCTATTATCTTAGTATTCATTAAACAGACATAGAATATTAATATTGTGCCTTTCCCATCTTTTGTGAATAGAGTATCAAGGAACATAGAAGACAAACTATCTATGAAATAGTATATTAAATCATTAAGGCATATTCCAAGGAGCTGTTTAGAGTCAAAATATATATATATAATTTTCAAAATTAAAAAATCTCAACAGGCTTTTCCAGAATTGCAATAAAATTCAGTCATCCAAGAAAAAGATGTCTCTGCACTTCTTGTTCAATCTTCATGTGTCTTTCTCTGTCTCTGGTTTTGCCTCTGCTGCTGTCTCTATGTCTCTGTCTCTGCCTCTTTCTCAGTGTGTGTGTGTGTGTGTGTGTGTGTGTGTGTGTGTGTGTGTGTGTGTGTGTGTGTGTGTGTGTGTGTGTGT